TTTTTTTTTTTTTTGGGAGCGGCATACAATGATACATCAAAGATATAATCACATAAACACATTTCGACCATAAACACACCAAGATGCACCACGAACGAGTAGCATAACACGTTTTCAACAATAAACGAGCATAAGGTAAGCATATCTCAAGTTTACCAATCGAGAATAACAAGGGACAAAACAATTCCTTGAATTCACATGCAGGTTCCACATTAACAAATAATCGTTCAATTCTATGATATCGTCCAATTCATCAAGTTCATAATGCACGAAAACTCACAATGAAACCAATCGATATTCTTAGCTCACTATTTAACCACTTTGGCTATCAAACTCACATCAAGCCTTATGAAGGAGAATCGATACAAAAAATATATAAGACTCAAAGCAAAACCGACCCAAGACACTAAAAACAAAAAGATAAACACCTAAGACAAAGTAATCACCACCTAAGCATGCATAATCAAGAAAAAACTCTCCCACCACTTCAAACAAAGCAATGTCCGCATTGCTTAACCAACTAAGTATAAGGAAGGAAAACAAGATCATATAAGCTCATGCGGTGAATACCATAAAACACAAGAAACGAAAGAAAAGAAAATGAACACATAAACACAAAGACACATAAAAAGAAACAAAGAGAAAGAGAAAAATAAGAAAAAGAAAAAGCGTACTCGACACGGTGATAAATCGCCGTGTGTCTGCCGGTGTGTCGTCCGGTAGAGAAGAAGAGCTTGGACCTTCGGTCCGTATATCCGTATAAGAAGTTGAGGCTCCGGTCCGAGCTTCGATACATATGTCCATTTTGGCTTCCAATGACGTGACTCGAGCACCAAAGGTGTGAAGGATAGAGTCGAAGCCATTTAATCGAGACTCAATGCGTGCGAATCCGATATTCACCAAAGAGGTCATTTGAGCCATGAAACCGTCCCATGGGTTTGGAGAGTAGTCGGTGGAAGGAGGTACGTCACCATCATGATTGGCTGGTTGGGCACTCTCGGGGGAAGGAAGTGCGAGGAACTCGGTCGGTTCGGTGCAATCTCTCTCGTGCTCAACCCGAGCTCTCTTTGCAGCTTCCTCTCTTTCTTTCTAGGCTTTCTTTCTCTTCTTTTGAGCCGCGAGTTGCTCATAGTAGTTCTTGACACATTTCCGATTTGATTGTGGGTTAAGAGTGGTCTCATCAGAGGCTAAGTACGAATTTATAAGTTCGTTGGCATCAATGTACCTCGATTGAACCACCTCATCACCGTAAAGAAGCTTGAAATGTGCCGCAATTTTTGTGATTAAAAGTCCCAATATCGGAGGAAATCGAACACCTCTAGAAACCCGGGTCAAGGCACGAAATATGAACCCGGAAATTCAAACCGGCTTCTTGTGGATAGCACACCAAAGAAGGAAAATGTCATCATAGCTAACCTTGTTCCCTTCCCCTTGCAAAAGATGTTATAACAAAGAAATTTATGAACTGATGCCAATGTGTGGTCCAAAA